CCCCCCCCCCCCCCCCCTACCTGTCCCAACGACAGCACAGCCGACGCCTGCCGCCCGCCCGGTCGCCGCGCGCCACGCCCGTGCTTCCGCCGCCGCTTCCGCCGCCGCCCTGTCCAGGGCCGCACGCTCGTTCCCCAGCCTTCGCGCGAGGGTCTCCAGGCGCCGAGCGCCTTCGGCGCCCCGCGCGGCCTTGACGCCTCGGAGGAGGCGCAGGCAGGGGGCGCTGGAGGTGTCGGACGCGGCGCCTTCGGTGATGGTGATGGGTCGGTTTTGTTGGTGGGTGGGGCGGTAGCGGTGAGGATATAAGGCGAGGAGATGACGACGACGTGTGAACGGAAGGGGGTATGTTGTTGTTGTTGTTGTTGTTTTTGTTGTTGTTGTTGCTGGTGATGATGATGATGCTGTGTTGTTGCTGTTGTGAGGTTCGGTTGCTATCCATTGTCGGTTGGTCTGGAGGGAAGCGGGGCGATCGTGCAAGCGGGACGAAAAGGAACAACTACACGGAAGAGGGTGAGGAGAAGAAGGAGCGGTGTACGACAACAACAAAGCACAAGCCCAGCATCTATACAAAGCATTTTCTGGGCGAATTCGAAGAAGAAGGTGTTCCTCCGATTCTTGGCAGGCGGAAGAGATCTTAGTTCATTTCTCTCGCCCAGGTAGCGGAAAGAATCGCTTGTTAGCTTGCAAGTGGGGTGCTGGAAGGACCCCTCCGCAAAGTGGCGCCACCAGCTGCCGTTGCACAGAAATCTCTACACTGGTTCCACCGTCGGAACACTCGCCACGACTNTTCAAAACATTTTCTGGGCGAATTCGAAGAAGGCGTTCCTCCGATTCTTGGCAGGCGGAAGAGATCTTAGTTCCATTCTCTCGCCCAGGTAGCGGAAAGAATCGCTTGTTAGCTTGCAAGTGGGGTGCTGGAAGGACCCCTCCGCACAGTGGCGCCACCAGCTGCCGTCGCACAGAAATCTCTACACTGGTTCCACCGTCGGAACACTCGCCACGACTAACTAGGAAACACAAAAGATTTCTGGAGAGCGGCGCCGAGTCCCGCTGTCCCGCCGACCCTGCTGAGTCTGCGAGCACCAAAAGACAGGGTGCGGCTCCAAGAAAAAACAAACAAGCTGTTGAACGCTTCTGGTTACCGCCTCTATCTACGAAGACGGGTTACGGTTAGAGTTAGGGTTAGGGTTACGATTGCTGTTGGCTTCTCACCTGCACCCTCCGGGGAGCACGGCACCGCCACTCCCAGCGCCGCAGCGGCAACCACGAGACCCCGAAACGTATCCCGCCCTTCCGCGATAGCCTTCACCATCCCCCCCTCCCCCCCTGAGCAACCTCCCCTCGCAACCGGTATCAGCAGCGACCCAACTCCCACGGTCGCGGGAAGCGGCAGCCTACCCGCCAAGGCGCACGCCGCTGGTGCGCGGCCACCACCGCCGCCGCCATCACCACCGTCACCCCCGGCTACGCCGACCAAGAGAGCCTCCAGCGCGCGGGTCGCCGCCGCCGCCGCCTCTTCCAAATGCTGCAGAGACGGCGCATCCAAGTGATACATCCCGCGGATCTCGGGTACCGCGCTCCCCTCATCGGACGCCACCGATGCTGCCGCTGCTGCCGCCTCCGCCGCCGCTGCCGCCGCGGCTTCCGCGGCCCTGGCCCGGCGGCACGCGCGCCCGCCCGGCTACAAACCCCGCCGCCGCCGCTAGCCCCGCCGGGGGGGGTGCGGGAAGGACCAGACAGTGACAACGCTGCGGAAGAATACGGAGAAGACCCCCCTCCTTCCCTTCCTCCTCCTCCTCCTCCTCCTCCTCCGTCATCCGCTAATAGCACGGAAGCGTGTCCTTCGGCCGGGGATGCCTCCGCTCGCCGGTGGTGCGACTCTCCGTGCGCCGGCGGGGGACACGTAAAGTGGTCTGGATCGAGGGCGCGGAGGCGGATATCTCGCGGCCGCCGCTGGCTGCCACCGCCGCCGCGCGCGGGGTGGGGACTACTGAGGAACATTCCTGTTTGATTAATGTTGTTGATGCGGTTGGTACTTTCTTCGTTATGGAGGTAGGTAACGTTTTGGTACACAGATCAGAATATGGCAGATCAGGTGTGTGCGAGAGAGTTGGGGCCAGGCCTGGAAAGTTCCTGTCTTTTTTGTTGTTCATTCGTTTCTGTTGTCATCATTGATGGTAGGTACCGGTTCTGGTAGACAGAATAGATAATGACAGATCAGGCGTGTACGTGCGAGAGAGCTATTGGAGGGTGGGGTCAGGGGGCCGGAGGCAGCAGAGGGAAGGTGGATCTACTTTCTGTTTCACGGGGTGGCGAGCTAACAGGGGGCAACACGACGGACACTTCGGAGCCAGCAAGTCCTAAACCAACGCCGGGGGCGACCGGGGGACGGGGGATCATCATGTGACATACTCCTTTTCGGAGGAGCTTATTCCACCGACGTACAACACAAACAGCAGTACTTCAGCCCCAGCATGAGCCTGCTCCTTTGTGCATGGAGTTAGTTCTGTGGCGTATGCATACATACTGCGTTACAACCAAACCCCTGGATATCACAAGAGCGCACCCGCGCGAAGGCACGCAAAATTCAGTCCTACCGGCGTCCGGACGGAGCGAGAACAAGCAAAAGCGCAAAGTTTTTGGACCGAGATCATTGTGTCACACATGCCGACCCCGGTCATACCGGTACTCTGGCCCACGTGGATCCTTCCGTCCGCCGCCTTCTGCGCCGCCTGCTCCGCCCATCGTAACCNCATGAGCCTGCTCCTTTGTGCATGGAGTTAGTTCTGTGGCGTATGCATACATACTGCGTTACAACCAAACCCCTGGATATCACAAGAGCGCACCCGCGCGAAGGCACGCAAAATTCAGTCCTACCGGCGTCCGGACGGAGCGAGAACAAGCAAAAGCGCAAAGTTTTTGGACCGAGATCATTGTGTCACACATGCCGACCCCGGTCATACCGGTACTCTGGCCCACGTGGATCCTTCCGTCCGCCGCCTTCTGCGCCGCCTGCTCCGCCCATCGTAACCGCCTGGCTCGGTGTCGAAGAGGAGGAGCAAAGAGCAGCAACAACATCGTGGGGAGAGAGAGAGGGTACGACCACGCTGTTGCACGTACGCAGCGCAAAAAAAAATAAGCATGCGGTGGGTGGCTCGCCAAGGAAGACACAAGAGGATTGGCCAAAATCGGGTACACCCGGCCCCAATCCGGCCATTATCGGGTACACTTGTTTCTCACAGCCGGCAGCGCCCTCCTGGCGCCATCTGCTTGGCCGACGCCCGCCCCTACCCGGCCCTGACCCTATTCTCACCGGGTGCACCCGATCTTGGCTACTCACCCCCCGGAGGGGTACCCGATCTTACTCTCGCCTACCCGAAAATGGCTGGGCTATTCGACCAACAGACCACCAGCAGACCACGCTCACGAACACCAGTCACAAACACCCCGCACTCGAGTTCCGACGCTTCCGACGGCGGGCGGAGGCGGAACTAACGCGGCTAACGCGGCGGAACTCTCGTTTGAAGTGGATCAGTGGATCTCTCTCCTGCAAGACTCCTCCTGCAACCCACCGCCGACGGCGGAACTCTCTCGGTTCTCGGTTCGTATCGGAGAGGGAGGAGAGAGAGGGCGGCGGTGGATGAATACCTCTCAATACTTCACGTGATCACTTGAGCTGCACACAAATACATGACGCAGCTCAGATATGTCCACGGAAGCATCAGGCACAGAAGCATCAGGGTGTCGCTTTCGTCTGGAATACATGTATAGACACATCAAGACCGGAGATGTATGGTACGGTGTTGTGTACGCAGAGGGTCGTTCGTACACAGCAATGCAGCAGCAGCAAGCAGTGGATGCCGTGGTTATGTCTCGATCAAGGGGAAGACCGGATATATATGACACTGTTGTGTAGGAAGAGGATCGTACAGTAATGCAGCAGCAGCACGCAGTGGATGCCGTGGGACCTCAGATTAAACAGCGATAATCCTTCCTTGACTTCGACCTCTCGTGAGTACGTGGGAGAGACAAGGAACTGCGGGCTTGCCACAGGAGATAGATAGGGAAAGATAGAGAGAGTGGTGGTACACGCAGCACGAACGCTGTCCTAAGATGGCTGGCGGTGAAGTAGCACGCGCCTTGCGCGAGGACCGCGGTGTTCTCTACTTCATCGCTCATATTCTGCCGATGCCAGTAGACGGTTCAGGTACGAGTGCCGAGATTAACCACGAGAGCCTTGGTGGATTGAGGAGCGAGATCTACTTGCAGGAGCGAGATCTACTTCAAACGAGAACTCCGCCGCGTTGCAGGAGAGAGACCCACTGATCCACTCCAAACGAGAGTTCCGCCGCGTAAGCCGCGATAGTTCCGCCTCCGCCCGCCGTCGGAAGCGTCGGAACTAGAGTGCGGGGTGTTGGTGACTGGTGTTCGTGAGCGTGGTCTGCTGGTGGTCTGTTGGTCGAATAGCCCAGCCATTTTCGGGTAGGCGAGAGTAAGATCGGGTACCCCTCCGGAGGGTGAGTAGCCAAGATCGGGTGCACCCGGTGGGAATAGGGTCAGGGCCGGGTAGGGGCGGGCGTCGGCCAAGCAGATGGCGCCAGGAGGGCGCTGCCGACTGTGAGAAACAAGTGTACCCGATAATGGCCGGATTGGGGCCGGGTGTACCCGATTTTGGCCACTCCTCAAGACACAACAACCCTCGAGAAGGCGTGTTGTGGGCGTCAAAAATGATGTCGAGAACAAAACACGACGAAGGCGGACATGGGGACCCTGACTGAGAGCGCCATGGCGGCCCTGACTGCAAGCGCCCAAAACAGTAAAACCTTCCCCCCCACCCCGCACCTCGAGAGATCCTTCACGCGGTCGAGGACCTGCCGCCAAGCGGGCAGCGCCGCATCTCCGAAGACCCCTCCCGCCGCCGCCCCGGGATAAAAACAAGCCCCGGTCCCGCCGCCGCCGCCGCCGCCGCCGCCGCCGCCGGGACCTTTCGGGTTTCCACTGCGTTGTCGGAGGAAACGCCGCCGGGGGATCGGGGAGCACTACTCGACGAGCCATCTTGTCCCAACGAGGCCAGCTCGAGGAGGGTGTCTTCTAGGTGGCCCAGCACCGCCTTAACCTGTGGGGGCGTGTTTTTCGTGAAAACGGGGAAGTTTGAGTCTACATCGTCCAGACAGAAAGGGGGCGGGAGGTGTGCGCGCACAGCAATAAAAGCAAAACAATACAGTAAGCCGGTGCTTTTTTTTCAACACGGGGGAGTCGAGCGCGCCCTAGACAAGCAAAAGGCTTGGTGCGATAAGCGTATGCTAGAGAGACGGTGTCTCGACTCTTAGCGCGTAGGGAGGTACGGCAGCACGTCAACCGAGAGAGAGAAGAGCGCTGCCATACTGCTGTTTCGCGAAGGGGGGGGTGGACGTGGTCGAAGGCCAAGATACGAAAGGATAAACAATGCGTGAAATGAGTACGCGTTGGCTACACATCGCGCTGCTGTTACGCTCTGCCTTTCTGTTCTCACAGAAAACGGCGGCGCACTGCTGCTGCTGCTGCTACTGCTGCTGCTGCCGCTGCCAAAGGCAAAGGAGCAGCGCTGCCACACACCTCTCTTCGTGCACGCACAAAACACGAGCAACTGAGGCGCATTCCTGCTGCGAGAGCAAAAGAACCCAAACTCTTGCGGTCAAGAACAAGTTGTATTGCCTCCTTCACGCTCACACGCCTGGCACACCACCCTGCCCACCTCTTGCGTCACCGCTGAACTAGTGTCCACGGCGCACCACTGCAGCCTGACCTGCCGCCTCAGCTGCGCCACCTGTCCCCTCAGGATCGCGTCGCAGGCGGCCGCCTCTACAAGTCCCGGTCCAGCCGCCGCCGCCGCTCGCTCTGACGCCGCCGCCGAGGCGGAACCAGCCCTTCCCCCGCCCGCCCCCCGTCCTTCGCGGCCTCGTGCTCCTCGTGCTCCTCGTGCTCCTGCTGCTGGTGGTGGTGGCGGTGGCTCGCCGTGGACGATTTCCCGGAGTTCTTCGATCCGTTGCCTCAAGCGTAAGTTTTCGGCCACTACTGCCTCCACGTCGACCGCCGTTGCGCTACTTTCCTACTCTTGAAAGCTGTAAAGTTTGGGTTGATTCCAATTTGAAAACAAATGGGCCGGCGGGAGGGGGGGGGGAGAGAGCGGCGCAAAGCAGCGGTTGGGCGGCGGGCATAAGAGGGATAGAGAAAAGGGGATGAGAGGTGCAGCGACGAGGTCTTGTTGAAAAGAGACGCGCGCGACCGACACAAGCGATTCTCTTGTCCTTTCGACGCGCAGGAACAACAGACAAACTTCAGGCGATCGACCTCCCTACACCACAACCGTACCAACACACGCACAGCGCGGGTAGGTAGAGCAAGCAGCTTGCGACCCCTCGCATCCCCAGCCGCGCTATACCATACAACGCTCGAAAAAACACACACACCGAAAAAGGGGGTTACCTCTTCCGTCTCTGCGCGCCCGCCACCACCCTGCTGCTGCTGCTGCTGCTGCTGCTGCTGCTGCTTTTCAACGCGGTGGAACCTCCCGCCCCGCCAACAGTGCTCATCTCCAAGCCCACGGCGGTGTAGTCTCGCAATCCGCCCGAAAGATCACCATTGTCCACATCAAGAACGTTGGCGCCGCCACCGCCGCCGTTGCCAGAGTCGGCGCCGAGGACCGCCCGCTTATCCTCCCGCGAAGAGCCAGGCGGCCGGAGGCACGCTCTCCCCGCCGCGGATCGCGGAGCCGCTCACCGAGAGCTGCTCAAGCGTTCTTCTTCCCCGGCCCCGGCCATCGCCGCCTTCGAGTGCTTCTTCTGCCGCTCGGTTGTGGTGTCCGGCTCAGAACGCGGCGGCGGCGGCAGCGGCGGCAACGGAGACGTTGGTTGCCCCGCCACCCAGCCGCAAAAACAGCCTGCAGCGAGGCGTTACGGCTGCCGCGGCGCCCGCCTGCTCCTCCTTCCTCCCCCGCACGGGCGAGCCGTTCCGCCCCCGCTCTTCGCCTCTGCCGCCGTCGCCACCGCCGTCGCCGTCGGGAGGAGCGGGCCTCCTTTCCTCCCAGGGAGATGGCACTCTTGCGGGCTCGATCGGAAACGACGTCGACATGACTGCCGGCCCACCACCCGCCGATAGCTTCAGCGCGGCTTGTTCGGACAACAGCGAATAAACTTCCTCGTTCGGTGCCGCCGCCGCTGATGCCGCACCCGCGACTGCGAACGGAGGCGTTCTTTCGCAGGTGGCATTGCCGGCGCCGCCGGCACCGGCGAGGAGGCTACGTCTACGACAGGACGGGGCGTGTGCGCCGTCCTCAGCCTTGCCGTGCGGAGGGGGGTCGGGGAGGGCCCGCCACCGCCAGAGGTCGTCCGAGACAGGGAGGAGGAGGAGGCTCCTCCGTCGAACCTCCCAGCAGAACGATCGACGCCTCCGCCGGTATCGGTGGTGCTCTCGCCGTAGTTGTGATTGCTGCCGCCGTGGCTGCCGGTGTCGTTGGTGTTGGGGATGCCCTCGCCGTTGTTGTTACTGACGCTATTCGTGTCACGGCAGCCGCTGCTGCCGACGCCGAGGGTGTTGCCGGAAGTGTTGATGCTCGGCGTGGGGTCTGTCGATGCAGGTGCGGGCGCCGGCGCCGCCTCCGGAGCACTTTTTCGCCTTCACTGACAAGAGCAGGAGAGAGAGTTTGACAGCAGTACCGGGTGGAAATGGAGTCGGAGTAAGCGTTGGCGTTTGCCGGCAGTACCGCACGGCTTAATGCCGCGTTTAGAATCTGACGGCACTGCTGTGTATTGTAGGTGTACCGCATCACCGCACGGGTGTACACATAACGACAGCAGTCCAAAACTGACAAGTCATCACGTGCCTGTTCATGCCTACAACCCCAGTAGACGGCGGGGCGCAGCTGACGATGGCGCTGCTGTAGGTCTTGGGGATGCTGCTGCCGTGCAGGCCCTCGCCGTTGGTGGCCTATTCGTCTGGTTGGGTGTCGTCAGCCGCGCATGCGGCTGCCCATCGGTGCTACCAATCTCTGGTCGGCTCTTACCCAATCACCCTCGGGGTGTTCCGTGGTAAAGACGAATTGTCTCTCCCGCGGCGAGGAAAAGCTCGAATGAAAAACCGTTTTTGGATACAATGTCTAAGGCTGTCTCTTACNGCGCAGCTGACGATGGCGCTGCTGTAGGTCTTGGGGATGCTGCTGCCGTGCAGGCCCTCGCCGTTGGTGGCCTATTCGTCTGGTTGGGTGTCGTCAGCCGCGCATGCGGCTGCCCATCGGTGCTACCAATCTCTGGTCGGCTCTTACCCAATCACCCTCGGGGTGTTCCGTGGTAAAGACGAATTGTCTCTCCCGCGGCGAGGAAAAGCTCGAATGAAAAACCGTTTTTGGATAGACT